TTTTTTTTTTTTTCTTTCTTATCTTCATTTCCCAAAAAACATACTTTTGTTTGACGCATTTTTATTTTACTTTGATTTAATCCGAATGGCATCGTATGTATTTATTAATATGACGACGTTTTTGTTTGGTTCTATTAGCACGTCGGCTATTGTGCACATTCAATTCTATTGAAAAATAAATCCTAATGCAGCGGAATCTATAGTTAGGACTAGGACTTACGGTTTAAAATTTTTGTCGACTCTGAGACGTTTCTAATTTCCATCGTAGGAGATCGTCTGAAACGCAGAGTCCGTTGGGCAGCCGGACTTGACCTCCTCGGTCGGATTCGGGTCGTCGGGCTCGGGCCGGTTGGACAAGGTTGGGCTGCTGTGGATCACGTGCCGAGGACAGGCTTCGCGTCGGGCGCTGGGCTGGGCTTGGTCGTCTGTAGGTCGGGCTGCCGCGGACTGGCGCGTCAGGCGCTGTACTAAACAGCGTCGTCTGCAAGCTGGGCTGCAGTGTCGTCTAACACACCAGTCGCTGCTAATGGGAACGATGAGCTCAACATGCTATCGTGCGTCGGGGCATCCAGAGATGTCGGGCACGTGCTCGTACAGCAGGACTCCTATGCTTGCAAGGACTAGGCGCGCAGTTTTCGGGCAGACTGGTGTGCGCAGCAAGCAGACGGGCGCATCTTCTAGGTATCCGAGGACTAGGGCTTGCTGGGAACTCAGGTGTGCGCCGCAGCTTTCCTAAACCTTCGAGGACTAGGCGTGGCGTGAGGACGTCGGGCATTAGTGGCTATCGAACGCAGCGGGATTCATTCGTCTAGGAGGATTAGTGCGCGCGAGATCTCCGGCGTGTGGGGCACGTTTCCTACTCCCACGAGGACTAGGAGATGATTCATTGATTTCCATTTCTTGATTAATTTATAAGCATGTCCGATATTTATTTCCTGCTCTATACTATAATCTACTACTACAGATTAAGGTTGACAAAAAGAAAGAAGTTTAATTGATGCTTTATCCACACAATTTATTCATGCTTGTAGCTTATCCGAACTGGTTTGGAAAAATTAACAGGAGATCTAAAATTATATCTTCATTATTAAGGGATCTGCAAAGTGTAAGTTGTTCGAGCAGCTATATAGACACATACACTGATACACACACATATGTATGTACTCTTCCATTTTATTTTATATGATCTTCTGGATGATGAAATAAGTGAACCTCCAGTCAGGGGCGGACGCAGACTTTAATGGCAACGGGGGCACAAATTACGGTCGACAGTAAACGCCATAGGTCAACGGTCAAATCATTATTTAACCAATTATAAAATAAAAATATTAAATCTTGACAGACACTATGTTTCTTATTTAATAGATAGGCTTGGATCTTACATTCTCATTTTAAGAATACTGACACATTTGATCCAATCTCTATATAGTATATACATTTTTGTACAATAATTGTTTTTATATGTATTTTAGGAAGAAAAATGAAATAAAAAAGAAGTTGAGTATAGCAATCTCTATATAGTATATACATTTTTGTACAATAATTGTTTTTATATGTATTTTAGGAAGAAAAATGAAATAAAAAAGAAGTTGAGTATAGCATACGTATAAATTCCACAAGTTAAAAAAATAACATACCATTAAAAGTTAAATAATTCTAAACATTTCTTTTTATTTTGTTATGTTGAAATAACTTTTCTTAATAATTAATATGTATTTTTTATGTTAATTAATACATTTATACATAACATATATATATACATACATATTACAAAAAAAAAAAATAACAGGGGCCCGTGCCCCTACGGGCCCCTGTGTAAATCCGCCAATGCCTCCAGATGATGTTTGTGGTGAGCCTTTAGTGAACCACGAAACACTGTTGTTAACCCTGAATTCGACGTGACAAATGATTTGGAAAATTTGATCCATGAGCTACCCACATTCTCATTTCCATCCTCTCTCAGGTTGATTTTGAAACAAGCTGCACGAAATTGTTTTTTTAGCGGAGACGAGTGAAATAAATGGATCCATTTAAGATTAAGAATCTCGTGCCACGGTCGGAATAAGGCTCTGCAGGAGAACGGCAGCAGAGCATTTCCTGTTCTAGAAAAAACCTCATTTCTTGGTGTCAAAATGGGTGGTAAGAAGATGCCCCGGGTCCTATAGGTCGGTATTCTGCCGCTACTGGTCGATCGAACCAAAAGAAAAAGCAGACAACCCAACTCTTGATGCCAATCAGTCATCCACTCCTTTCTTTTTTTTTTTGCATAGGATATCATACTTGCGCAAATTCACTAATTATTCGAACCAAAGAAAGGTTCGATGTAGTTCGCTCTGGATCTTCTCAATTCACCCAGAGAAAGGAAATCGGAGATTGAGCGTATCCCGGGTTGGTTGCCCGACAAGCTATTTGATCCGATCAACTGCGTAAGCCATAGCGCGCGGGGAGTATACGAAAGGAGTTGAAGGGAAGTGAATCAAATCAGAGAGCAACACGTTTTCTTCATCGCTTGGACGGCGGCTGTGACGATCGTGGGTGAGGCACCCGCCTAGACCACGACCACCATGTCTGCCGCGAAACCCACCGCGCATGCCCCGGTCGCTGGCATCACTGTTCGTCTGCATTTCCTAGACCACGTTGTTGAGCAACAAACGCAAAACTACGATCCCCGAGAAAGATCCTCAAACCGTTCCGTGAAATGTTCGTCCAACAGCTGAACTTGATCGTCGATCTGTTTAAACTGGTCGTTGATGGCTAGGTCATGTTGTTTGTTTGCAACATCTTGTTGTTTCAGCAACATTGTGAATCATATCGACTGCTGATACCAACTGATATATGGAAGCGTATGAATGAAAAGGATAAACGATATATTCTTTAGGTAGAACTCATGAAACTCAACAATATCTTATTAATATCAAAATAATTCAATCGATCGACTCATATGTATATGGGGATAATATATAGTCTCAACCCTCCTATTCCTACTTATCTTGTCCAACAAGCTAGCTAGGCTGGATATTTATTACACTTGTCAATCATAATAAAATAACTAAAGTACTAGAATAAACAGAAATTCTATGGCACCACATGTGGTACAATATTATGGTGCCACATGTGGTGCCATAGAATTTCTGATAAAATAAAAGGAACAATAATAATAGGAAATAAATAATCGAAATATGAAGCTTATCATATTTATATAAAAACGCTTCTCGTCTCTATCACATAGTAAGGCCAAATCAGGTTTAACCTTACCAAATGTGAATTAAGTCCACAAAACCTAAAACAAAGTTAAAGCATCTTGATTTTAAGCTATAAAGAAATTTTGTTATTTGAGCTGGACAAAAACCAAATGTCAACCTAAGCTCAAATACACCAAAAATTTTAACCTAGAATAATCCAAAAGAATAAGATAAAATAAAGAGCCAACATTTTACTTTTTCTTGTTTAGTGAAAGACCATAAAACATAATTATGTTGATTTAAAACCTCATCATTAAAAAAAAAATGTTTTAAGATCAACATTCAAATCGATGCATATAAAATTATAGAGGCATTATCAATTTTAAATACCAAAAATATAACATCTACTCCCAACTTAGATTAAAACTTGATCTACCACATCCAAGGTTTTTGTTAAAATTATGCTCATTTGATTAGCTGAAAGTTTGATTGTTCAATTATTAGTTGAATTTGTTGTTATTAGTTGGCATTTTGTTTTCATTAGTTGTGCTTTGGTGTCATTAGTTGGCATGAACAATCATTAAACTCTAGATGCTTCATTTCCTACATATATATATGAGTGTTCGGATGAATTGTAATGTGAGCAAGAAAAGAGAATTGATCTCATAAGAAAAAATTTCTATTATTCACATATACATTTATAAAAAAATCTCTTCTTTAACTATTATTTTTACAAATTATAATTTCTTCTTAAATTTT